TTAAATGAATGAGAAACATCTTAGTACGAAATAAGCCGTAATGAATTTAAAGGGTAAGAAATCAACATTTTAGTAAACGAAAGGGCCGGGCGGCTTTTGTTACCGAGTGAAATTGTATTTATTTTTTTCACAAGGTTAAAGCCGACCAATAATATGTGGCTACAGTATTAATGCCTTTATCACCTGTAGATGACAATTTTTTACCAACACCTTTGGACACACCAGACAGTGATGCACGCGTTTTTGTCAAAAGTGCAGCAAACTGTCTAGAAATAACCTATTATTATTTTCTCGCGCTTACTTCGTAAGGAGAAAAGTGCGGAATTTTGACGAACATAAGAACTGCCCCACTCTCATAAGCGTCCTTTACGCCATCCGAGGGCAAAATGTAATCACAACATTTTTGAAAATGTCCTAGGGGCTTCATGTAAAGCACCCTCCCAAAAAATATTAAAATATCGCTTTTAAATTCAAAGGACCGAAAGATCAATCCGATTGATTGGGGAATATCATCTTTTGTGAAAATTTTGCTTAGGGTTTAACCGATGGCGTTGTTCAGTCAGACGTTTGCCTTCAGTTGATTTTTCGGAATCAAATACCCACACAACATGGATTCTGATTATACACTGTTAGATGAAGTAATTTTCTATATTTACGGACAATATTTATCCATTTGCTCGTTACCAGGACCCGGCAATAAGAGGATTTCTGTCGCCGTTTTTTCGCGACATTACAATACTTGGTTTATTACTGCGTGCGCAGTGGCGAGAAAATAAAAGTGAATGACATAATTTGAAGATATAAATTTGGGGGATAAATTGCACTGAGAAAAAATCTCTGGCTTTAATATTAGAGGTGTGGGGGCAGGTTTGAATATATATTTGAACTTTGAATTTTTCAAAATAAAATCAAAACTTTACCATTTCTTAAATGTACTTTCTTCTATTCATTTTTGCGTGACGCATACTTACATTCATCCATCCCGATTTACCGGAACAAAATTGCGTGTATCTTCTCGCCATCCAACCATGAACGCCATCTGCACCAAACTAAATTCTGACGTGACAGCGAAGTTACAACTAAACTTACACTTAAGCACGAAAAAAACGAACGGCAATTCGAGATCGTATTCTTGAGGCGATTCGAAAACTTTTCCTCTCCACACTATAATATAGGGAGTGGCAGTAATAAAGTAATAAAAATTCACAAAAAATCTTTCCTTATATCAATATGGCTAAACTTTGTGAAATACTTCAAAACTATTCACAACGCTTCGTTGCTAATCTAAATTCACAAACGTAGCACTTCAGCCATCTTACATTTGATTCTAGCGAACGTATGACAACAAGGCAAGTTGCGATTTACGCGCCCTCACTGGAAATGGTTAGGCAACTCGTCATTCGTATGTAAAATTCTACATTTCTCGAAGATAAATAGAAAGATTAATGAAAAGAACATCAGCAAATACCAGAGTTCGATCGGGTATGATGAGATAAAACATTTCTGTACGACGGAAAGGAGGGGGAATGGCTTTCGAACCTCGTTGGTTTTTAAATGGTAGGGAATGAATGGTTGCAGTGTTGTAGTTTGGTGCTTAAAATTGCCTGCATGTGGCGAATGGTTAAGCATAATTCTTTGCAAATTACGGGCTGTACGAAAATAGACTTAGAAATTCAATGTGATCAGGATAAGTCATATCACCTAACTTTCGGTGTTAGTACAGTTGATCGGCTTATTATTAAACAAATGTAATAAACAAGATCGAGATGATTATTTTTAAGAATAAATTCTACGTATAAATATTACAGAATTTTTTATGAAGTAAAAAAAATAGAGCCATTACGAACATTTCGAATTTTGAAAACAATATTTTAAAAAGGAAAATACGGAACCAATTATACGTTAATTCAATTTCACACAGATTTTAAATTTCTTCTCCTTTCTGATGGAGTGGGGGTAAACAAAAGAGCTAAATCTAAAAAACCAGAAACATTACCGGTTTAAAGCCCCCTCCCCCACCGTTTCTCTGTCTCTTCCCCACAAGTAGCGTCTCAGACTCCCTTCATGTTCCCGCTATATTCGCTGTATATTCCCGCATGTTCCAGAACGTGCGTAGTAGTGACTCATAGCGAATGGAACAAGAAATAACGAGAAACTTAACTAGAAGCGCAAAAAAACCAAAATGTAATCGAAACTTCCAAAAACTTTAAATAATTTTGAAAATGAAAATAATTTCGCATTGATACTACCGCTTTTCTGGCAACCCTTGCAAGGGGTGAGGGAGCCTACCAAAAATTGAAAGAACGTCCACGAGGGCTAATTTGGTAAATTATGACATAAAACATAACTTTTGTCTTTTTAAGGACACGAAAACATAGTAGTAAGGCTAAGGTACGTTTCAGTGATATGCACAATGATAAAACATAGTATGCTGAGCGTTGCATGTGCCCCTGATTTCCGTGAGCCATAATGAAGAACCATGTTTGTCGATTCAAACCACTTTAATGCAGGAATGAGGGCAATTCCGTATTCAACAGCACGCTTACGGGAATTGAGTCGATTATTTCTTATAAACTGTCAGATAGTTACATTTCTTAAGTGATTGATAGAGGAGATACTATGCATTTTGAATATTGGTTTCCACACATTTGCCCTAAGCTTCTGAGGGACAAGAACACACCTTCACTATTATTTTCGTTCCATGTACTCAACAAGAATCATATTTACATATCTTCAATGTCACTGGGTTCACGTTTTTGTTAAGTTATTTTACAAGCTCTTAGTGCCCTTAAAAATGAATTGTGTGTAGCAGAGATCGGAGACCAACAATTGAAGTCATGACAAATCCGAGTATATACAAGGATAAGAAAAGGGATGGGCTTGGAATGAACTGCAAAGCAGCAATTTCATGTCAGTTTAACTACTTAGGAATGGGTACTAAAAACACCTACCACAATGGCCTGTAAGTTACAAAAATACATCTGCATTTATTTCAACAGTTGGGAAAGATACACAAGTTACAGTTGATGCAAGATGGTTCATTTTAACCCACAACAGTGATACGTTGATTGGCTCTGCTCGTTAATGGAGAACCTTTGACATCTGTAACTTGATATTCCTAACACTGACACGTCGCCTCCTATGTGCTATTGAAGCTTACACCCATCAAGAAAATTCGGTAATACATGAGCCCCTTACTAAGCTGTTCTGAAAACCAAACATGGAAGGTTTTCAAATAACTTAAGAAAATACACTGAAAGTTAAAGCTTATCAGCACCTACATAGTAAATTTTAAATACAATGCTAATTACGACAATAATACTCTGTGAAGTTTGGCATCTTAGCATCAGTGACATTATACACAAATTATTTATTCGCTGACATGGATATCACATCCCAAAATTAAATACAGGAAAGGTTAGTTTCAATTGTAGCAGAACATCCCTAATAAAAAGCAGAAGCTTGTCTCACAGTTCAAGGGTGTGAACAAGGCTCGGAGTGCTAGCCACAGCCAATGTGTACACTCTACTTACCACAGTGCTGCTACTCGGCTATGGAAACTCAGGCCCAAGGAGCAATTGACAGGGACACTGTGGGGGTCCGAGGGTATTTGTGCTTAGCAACAGACCTTCAAGTTTGACTTTTAAGCCAAAAGAAATGAAAAAGAAATTATCACAGCATGGCAGCTCGAATCGTTGAGCCCCCAAGTATATATACACATGAATTACATCACCACAAGGCATCAGATTAGTACAACTAATTATAAAACTTAAAGACTTCAAATGAAACGATATTCCTTCATTTTAAATGTACATTTCAACAACTATTTATCCCTTAGGGTAATGCATTGCACACTTATAACTGAATTGGCAAGATACATATCAGTAAAATTTGGCAACAGAAAATCTGTGCCTTTTTGTATTTGGCTGGTTGTTTACCTATTCCCTTGGACTCCAATTGCTACAATGAATAACAATATCTGATTGTTGGGCAGATACATAAATAAAGAGAACACCAATTTAATTGATCATCTGCAGGAAAATGTAATAAAAGGAAAATAATGACATGCTGATGTCAATTCATATGGTGTATTGAATGTGTGTATGTGTGAGTCAACCAGCCCATGAATTCTATATTATTATCACAAATGAATGCATTCCCAGTATATCTTCAAAATGCAGCTACTACACAAAATTTAGGTTCATGTCCATCTGTCTTGTACATACATTTCCATAGTGTGAAAAGTTATACTTTTGAGATCGCAAATAATTTGCTACATCTTTATGAAAAACACAGATTTAGAGTCAAATAGCCCATTCATGCAAGATCACACAATCCACCAATCAATATCACACTCTCTCCCTGCAGCTCTTCTTGGAAGAGACTAAGGTAGATATCAAAATGTTTTTTCTTTAGAAGAAACGGTTGACTGATATCACACTTTTTGCAAGCACTTTTCAAGCTTGGACTGTCCCAAGTGCAAGGCTGTGTTTATTCACGAAAAGTCCTTTCGTTTGCAACCTACGGACCATTCTTTATTGCAACACTCGTCTTCCTACACCTTGCCTCAGGATTTCGTTCAACACCTACAGTCGCTCACTCTCTAATACAGTGAGGACCGAGAGATACTGCTGAAAGACTGGTTATCACTATCGGGGCGGGCGGCGACGGCCCGGTCAGGCGGGCCCCGCGCCCGCGCCTCCCGACGGCACGGGCTTGGCGCCGTGCGGCGGCTGGTGGTGGTGGTGGTGATGGTGGTGATGATGGTGATGGTGGTGGTGATGCGGCGGCGGGTGGAGGTGTGGCGGCGGCGGCGGAGGCGGCGGGTGCTGGCAGACGCAGGGGGTTGCGCAGGACGGCGGGGGCGACGACTGTCGCTCGCCTTCCGTCCGGCAGGGCACCATGGTGAGATTGGCGAGGGCGCCGCCCCCGCCCGGGGGGTCCGAGAAGGCGGAGAGGCGACGGGTGCGCGACGCGGCGGAGGGGCGATGACGGCGGGGGCGGAGGCGGGGGCGGGCGATCAGCAGGGGGCGGAAAGCGCGTCGGCGCGGGGGCGGAGCGAGGGCGCGGCGCCGGGGCGGGCGCGGCGCGGGCAGGGCGCGGAGGCGCAAGGGCGCTCCACGGCCCACGGTGGTCTGCGAACGCCGCCGCGCCTCCCGCGAGCAGAAGGCGAAATCGCCGGCCGCGCAGCCGCGCCCACTTGCCGCCCCACGGGCCCGCAGCCGCCGCCCCGACGCCGCCGCCAACCGCTGCTGCTGCTGGCGCTGCTGCTGCTACTGCTGCTGCTGCTGGAGAGGCTGTGGCAGCGCACCACGTGCGGTCCGCTACTGCCGCTGCCGCTGGACCAGTCGCTCGCCCCCGCGCCCGCGCCCGCCCCCGCGCCCAGCGCCAGCAGCCCGGCCGAGCTGGAGCGGTACGGCGGCGGCGACTCGCCGTCGAACACCGTGCGGTTGGGCGGCGGCCGGATGCACTTCTGGTAGATCTCGCTCTCCTGCAACCGTCAGGCTCCTTTATACGCCTTGCTAGCAACATCTCGGCTAACAAGATTAAACTTTTCTAGCAACAAAATTACACTTCATCTTAAAAGAAAATGGAGAAGATAGCAAACTGAATCTATGCAATACTCCAAACAACAATGAATGTCAACGTTTTAAGTATAAAATTGATTCAAATGAAACTTTGATGAAGAAATCTTTGTTTAAGTGAAACCTTTTAACAATATATACCATATATAACTGACTAGGCATGGCACAGCCGGCTAGTACTCATGTTTTTTTACTTGTGCTACGCATATTCACAATACAAATTATCCTCAAGCTCAGAGAATTTCTTGAAGTACCGACAGAAATCCTAAAAATGTGTTAGTTTTATTACTTATTTATTTAACTCTCACCAATTTTACAAATCATTCCTAATAAGGATTCAAGTTACGTCGGAAAAGCAGTATATTAGTTCACAGCGTTTTATCACTGTAGCTGCCGAAAATCCCCTTCAAGACGTTTAGTTTCTATTTATTTATTTCATCGCCATCCCCCTCCTTCTCGAACTCTTCCATAATATTCTAAAACGATCCTGCTAAAAGTAGGGCAAATAGATTCCCTTTGTCGAGGGGAGCCGTATGTTACCCAAGGACGTGCAAGAGAAATTTTTTGTGACTTTACGAAAAATGTATTAAACTGGTGTTTGCTCGTCACACTAATACAAATTCACTTTCAAAAATTAAATTATTTGAATAAAATTTATATTTTTGAATCTTGCAGCGACATTCCACGAAAATATAATTTGTAATAACTCATTTGACTAGATCATTTTAAATCTCTTATAAAGGAACCGGAATCAAATGTACGTTCGAACATATTATACAAATATTTGTCTTGGGATGTGTAAACATTGTTTACTTCTTTGAGGCCCACCCTTTTGTTAATTCGGCCCTGTGTATAATTATATTATTACATTGTAATACAGTAAAACCTCGTTCACCTGAATCGACTGGGATCGAGACCGATCTGAGTTATTGAGATTCCGGATTATTCAGATAATGAAGGATGAACTATAAAAAAATAACATAGGCTTACCAAACGTATTTTTAATGAAGGTCAAAAATTATAGACATACTTTCACCTAAAAACACAAAGTAATATTTATTTATACTGTACACGAGTGTATACGAGTATATCGGTACAAACTACTGTCGCCCTAAGAATATTTAGGGCACCGCCAAGGCCACTTCCTCCCTCTATGCGGGCGGCCCGACGCTGGAGGTGTGGGGAGAGTGAGGAGAGGGTTGGCAGGTGAGATGATGGCAATGAACTATCGCTGGGAAGTGATATATTCGAGAAATATACCTGTTCATAATAGCGACTTATCTATTAAAACAAATCTTCATTTAGTACGCTAAACAACTTCTTTTCCGAAACTCGTCCGGGTTAACGAGGTTCTACCGTATTAAATATATAACTAATATCGAATAAACATTTTATTATGTTTACATATTAATACCACCATCACGCCGCAGCACGATAATATAGTTACCAGTACACACTGCCACTAGGAGGAAAGGAAATCGATACACCATGACCGAGTGATCGATTAGCAAGAGATAGTCACCCACAATCGACAGGCATATCGATCTTCTTGCCATGCGCAGTTCTAGTTTCGCGCCACCAGAGGTATATCTACGCATTCAGGTGCCCGTGGCAAGCATAGAATTAGCGCCCCTGCCAGGATGCTTCAAATTAGGGTGGTTGTTATTTGTTTTAGCGGGAGTACTCTAAATAGCGCCCCTTGTGATTGACGCCCACGGTACAATCTGTCTGTGATGCCGTAGATACGCCTCTGTGCGCCATTTTTTAGCATATGCCCGTGCTCGTAAGTCCGATATTGCTGTCGATGGCTTAAGCTACGTCGTGCTTAAACTCCCTACTAGCTAATTAACGTAAGTTCGAATTGTCACATGCGCAGACGCTCAAAAGTGATATTCGCTAGGGAGGTTCACGTTGTGCAAAAACTCCCTACTTTCTGATCCCCTACTACCTTACCCCTAGTACCTTAAAAGTCGCCTTCATAAAAGAAATTAAAACACGCCCGTGTTAGTAGCTTTAACACCCAAAACACTAATACCGAAAAATTGGGTCATTCCGCGCCAATTCGCACAAATTTAAGGAAATGTTGACCTTGAGATCCCATATAAAAAATGCATGCATCGCTACAGTTAATCATTTTTAACCCGTGTAGTAATTGTGACAGAAATGTATTTGCGACATTAAAGAACAAAAGATATTTGATTTGATGTATGTATTGAATTTGTTAAATTTTCTAAAATACATTTTTTGGCCTATTTTATTTTAATTTTATGTAATTTCAGCTAAAACTCGAGATTAAAAATTGGGAAAAATATACTATTTAATCTCTGAAACGTTCTACATATGTAAGTTACAAAGAAGGATGAAAGGAACACACCTTTGTGGCTTTCATACTTTTTTTTATATCCCTGTTACAATAGTCCTTTTCCTAAGTATTGTTTTGCGTTGCTAAAAATATAAAGGTGTTGTTCTTCACATTATCTTCAGCCCATTTAAATAAATTCCTGGATAAATTAAGAGGTCCCTGTCAGGATAGAAGGCTAGCTTTTAGTGAGAGTATTGTTGTTGCTGCCCCCACCCACTCTATCGCAAGGGCTCTTTCCATAAGACGTTGCGAAGCGAAGAAATGCCATTCAGCAATCACATTAAAGACATCTTTGTGAGAGCATAAACTTGCATTATTTTGCTGTACTAGGTATTAGGACCCCATCCGAAAAATATGTCGGTAAGCTCTGCCATAATCTTACTTGAAAAGTGTTATGAGTTGATACTTAAAATCGTTAATTGAATTCGTGTCGGGTTTCAGGCGTCCAGATAAGGAAATTATTTTTTGAGGTTTAAATTCTTTGCTTTCTGTAAAAAATAGCAAAAAATTATGCAGAATAGCTAGTAAGTTATTAATTCACAGCAGTCTCAGAATTACATCTTCAAGTACGAAATAATTTTCGAAAAAAACCACATTGGACAATGAAAACCCCTGGTGTAATATTTTATTATTGTCTCGTGAAAAAAGCAGAAGAGAGCAAATGTGTGAAGATAGCAGAAGACGAACTTACTCGTCAGTTTCTTACGTTAGGGTGAGCATGCCCTACCAGGGCTGGCGTTTATTCATCATTGTCACTGCACAACAATTTTGCAGCATTAATAAGAATGGTCGATTCTCGCTTTCTTATAAACCTTCACTTGACTCGTCACGAAAAGAAAGTTTGAAAACCAGTTTTTTCCGATATAACTTTTTTGATGGCAAACAGTCAATTTTCAACTTCTCAAGAATGCTGATTGTAACAACCCAAAAAAGTACACTTCTGCATTTGTAGATTTTCATATTAAGAAAATGCAAATAACAGTAGTATTGACATTATAGTAAGTCTGTGATTTCTAAGTTCACAGAACAATGCACGATTCTCGGATTCCTGTTTACACAAATGACACTGTATTATCTGAGAAACAATGCTGTTCTGTTTCAGGCAGACCCTAGCCGTGTCAGTTGTTTATAAATCTAATAGTTGCATGTCGTCAGAAGACTTCCATTTGAGACCGTATGCGTTTTTTGAGAATCATAACTTGATATCAGGCTCACGGTGGCTTCATGTTTGGACGTCACGATGCGCCGTGTCATTGACGTCGTGTGCTTTGAGCTGCCAATCCGGCGGGCGGCGGGCTGCCCACATGCTCCGGTGAAGAAATTATTTTTTTAAATGTCATTTATTTGTGTCCCACTTTGAAATTTGGGAGTACAACATGTGTAGAAATACAAGAGTATCTTTTAAAATTAATTTAAGTGTTGGCCCCAATTTGCAAATTTGCATTTTAAAAATTAAAATGTATTTTAAAGATTTAATTAATATCTTTGCAAAAATTATATTTACATCACACAAAAGTACATATTTTTGGATTTAATTTAGGTGTAATTCTATTTTTCTGAAGGAAACTATTTTCGCAAACAAATTTTAAACATTGGCGCGCGTAAAATTCTTGTAAATAATAATTGGTAATTATTCTGGAAAAAAAAGAAAGAAAAAAATAATCAAGGCAATAAAAAATAGTTATGTTTTGCGAGTCTGCGATTTGAGGTGGAATGACTCAATTCTGATAGAATGTTCTCCAAAGATGCGGAAAACAACTATCCGTTCTCCGAGACGCGACGATTAACTATTTCCCCTTCAATGATGTACCGGAAAAAGCCTAACCGTGCGTGACAGACGGACATTCGCGCAGGTCGCCCGAATGTTCTGGTCGATGAAGGAACATTTAGTAAGTACATGAAATATATACATAACTTTTCAACCTAACTTCCATTTATTGCCATAAACTTTTTGTAGCGTGGCTTTGGCAAATTTACTCCGAAGTTTTACTTTCTCACCTTACTTCATGAGCAGAGAAAGTATTAGCAGGGAATTTTTGCTCAGAAAAACTACAGCCTTATAAGGTTGGTATAACTTCGTTACTTCACGCTTCCTCCGGGTACAATTTCTTCCAGTGTAGAATCGGTATAAGGATGGATTAAATGTTTATCAATAATGGCCTCTAAACAGTTTAACTATGCCTTTTTACTTTCTCGCTACTGCAAACGCAGAATAGAGAAAGTATTATAACTCTGCGGGTAAATGGGCGAATGTTTGGCAGAAAAAACTATTTGACGAGTCTTAGTAACAAAAAGCGGATACATATTGTTTCTGTATAGTAAATTACTTCTCCTAATATGCCGTGTAGTCAGAATCCAGTTTTCGGAGACCTTGACACAGAAATCGATTGACGCCAAAACGTCTGTCTGTTCGTCCGGCCGTGGTCAGCGCTAGCGCCTAAATCATTCACATTTTCTCCAAAATCGATATTCCCCAATAGATCTGACTGATGTCGTGGCCCCTTGCATTTGAAACCGACATTTTAATTTTGGGGGGTTACTTCA